TGTGTGTGTGTGTGTGTGTGTGTGTGTGTGTGTGTTAGCAGGGCAGGCTGTTCTCTTGTTTTAGATGAACTTGCAATAAGAATTTACCCCTTGGATTTGGGAAGATAAGGTGAACAGGGTAAATACATAAATGCTTTCTACCTTATACCACCAGTGGTCATATTAAAGTTTTAAGCAATATCCAAGAAAATATCCCTGGAGAAAATATTGATTTTTCTTTTGTTTTTGTTTTTGTTTTTATTTTTAAAAACCCATCATCAGGCGATTTTCATTATTTTACCCTGTGTTTCTAATTTGTGTCTTTTCCTACCTTCCAGTGCATCTTCTGTTAACATCTGTTGGTTCTTTATTTGAAAAAGTCACATTATGATGCTTTTGTCTTTTTCCTTTTTTCAAAATTTGTATCTTTTTCTTTGTCAAGAGTAGGTTAATTATGTCATTTTGCAGTGCAATTGATTAAAGAAGCCAGGTTTTAAAAGATAAGCCTGTAGTCAATCAAAGCGCTGCATCTCTCACATAATGACTTTTTATTTCTCCTGTAAGTACATGAAAACCCACTTAACTATGTTTTATAAATCAGGTATAGAAATATAAAGAATAACCTGAAAGAAAAATCAGAAAAGAAAAATGTAATGTTTGAAATTGAATGAAGGGAGAAAATTACTTTTCCCACTCTCTAAATGACTAGGAGAAAAACATGAGGAAGAATAGCTAGAGTGCCAATGATGGTTGCCAGTGGCACCAGGATTGGCATCAGACCCTCTTTGTTTAGCTTAGGATGCTTGTGATTTGTTAGTTGGCATCCGCATTGCAGTGCGGAGTAATGTTACAATATATTGACAATTTCCAGATCTGAAAATGTCAATAGTCCTCTTGGTTATTTATACAAGATCACACACTGCATCTTTTCAGGAGGAAGAAATAAGGACCAGCTTCTAATAAAGTTTCACCATTGACCAACTTCATATGGCTTTCCTTTTCCTTCTTTCTTTCTTTCTTTCTTTTTTTTGTTTAGCCCTTCCCGTTTTTCATAGTAGCAGCAGCATCCTTTCTAAAACAGAAAAAAAGTTAGAAGGGGATTTGACATGAACTGTAAGCTGTGGCTATCGCTAGTGTGCTCTGGGGAAGAAATTATGAAATTTTAAAAATTATTCATGGAATCTAAGTTATTAAAGATTTCAGCACCAAATGTCCACCGGGCAGCGTTTTTCTTTTGAAAGTCCAAACTCTTTGTTATTTGGCCTTTTTTTAAAAAAAAAAACCACAACATAATTTCTTCAGTTTTGCTTAAAAAACAATTAGATTAGCAAAAGGTCATGTTCAATACAGCTATTGATAAAATTGCATTCTCTTCTCCCTGCCTACTTGAGAGCATGTATCATTTGGGAAGAACTACATACAAGTCCATAAAATCATTTATGGTATTTGATTGTGAGTGCTGCGCTTTTACTGTGTTCCGTTGCTAAAAGAACCGCCATTTTGTTTGTCAAGTGCCAGGAGAGGGAAAAAAAAAAGGCAGACAATGTGCTTGATGCCAATAATGGTTGCCAGTGGCACCGAGGTTGGCATCAGACCCTCTTTGTCTAGTTGCTGAATGCCTTTGATTCGTTGGTTGGCATCCGCATTGCAGTGGGCACATTGGAAAGTTTTTGACAATCAGAGAATGAAAGCTGCTGTACTTGTTTGCTGCAGCAAACCTTAGATAAAATAAATCCCTTCCTTTTCTAGATTTTTTTAGACTGCAGTAGATGGAAACAACTGTTCTAATCCTGTCTCTTCATTTTACTAACAGATTAAAGAGAGCCAATGTTTCTCATCTAGTGAGTTCTTCTCTGTGCTGTCTTTGTTGCTATCTTAACAGAAATTTTTAAAAAGGCAAATCTTTCCATATGAACCTCACTGTAATATAGAGGCTGTACTGTAGGAAGAGCATCCTACCTAGCGAAAAATCGTGGAGGACTAATAGACTCCAGTGATGGGAAATGCATTAATTATTACTAAGTTTTTTTGTTTTCTCTCCCAGCACAGCATACTTCTTATGTTAGTCATATTTCTCTTAGTTTCTACACTTTCCATCTTTATAGTACTCATGTGAAAGCTCCTTATGTTTCACTCTAATATCAGAAATTTGGGAGAGGTATTTTGCAGTGCAAATGTTCAAAGAGGAAACACATTTCCTAAATCTGATAGAATCTAGTCATCCCTGAATTTTTAAATTCTACATCAGAATGTTCATAAGATCCTAGCTATGTAGTTCTATTACCAAGAAAACCAACAAAAAGGCTGTCATTTTTGTTGAAGTTTCCTAGATAGCTAGTATTAATATTGCTTTCCGGTTAACCACTATTATCTCGTTAATTAATAAGAAGGATTAGCAGTTTTACCCAAAGGGCTGCACAGAAGGAAGTCTGGCCTATGTGAGCTACTGAATCGCCAGACTGTGTCCTGTCTGGGGGAGGGGGGAGGTAGTAAGGGTGGAGAAAGGGGGCAGAGTAGGCACTGGGTTTTCGTTAAGTAGGGAAGAGTTCTGCAAAAAAGCAATCTAGCTCACTGAGCTTGCTAGGAAGTTTACTATCTCAAGAGATAGCAACTGTTATGTGTGCAGGTTGCATGAATGCAACAAAGCAGTTCATACTCACTTATGCTAACTGGTTGTTGGATTGTACTTTGCTCTCTTATTAAAGGTGTTTTCAAGCACAGAAACTTCATCAGTGTTTGACTGTGTTTTAAAACTAAAGTTCCTTTTAGCTATTTGGGGCACCTAAAGTTGTGGCTGTGTTGTTGTATGTTGGCTGGCATTCTTTTTGAATGTTAAATTGTGTAATAATTTATATTGTTACATTGTGAATCATTGTTTTTAGGGGAAATTGTAATAAATGTCCTGTTTTGAAATACGACC